CTGCGCTCGATACGCATGGCCGACAAAGGAGCAACTCGACCCGATCAGCAGCTAACCAAGGGATTCGTCTGGGGTGGCACAGACACTCTGCTTCTGCGGAACTTAGTGCGACGGCTTCCAGATACTTGGGCCTAAGCACAATTAGAGTTTCTCGAATATTGATCAACACAACTAAGACAGATCGTCTGTCATCGGTGTTGCTACCCCAGTCTGCATCCGAAAAATCGTAAACAATACCTTTTCCAGTCCATTATTGGCAAATGATCCCGTGATGCAGTGCCGAATTTAAGTAGCGCAGTGCACAAATTGTAGCGGTTCAATGTGGTAACCCGATATTCTCGAGAAATCGAGACAGTCATGTAACGATATATGCCATGCCCGGCTGAGTGCAAGTTGTAATGTATAGTATACATCTAATCAGTGAGCGATATGATCTTGAACGCATCTCTGAACGCTCAGCTTCTGTACTTGGTGCCTGTGATGTTGACGGCTTGAGACCAAACGTACACAGATTGTCGACGACCTTTGCGTTTTTCTGTTGCAATCGCTCAGCCATATCGCTCATGTACCGTGTCTGTTTGATCATTAGTGTGGAAGCTGACCTGTCGCGATCGATCTCAATGCCCAAGATAAGCTTCGCCATACCGAGATCCTTCATCTTGAAACAATTTATAGTACCCCCTTGACCTCCAGAATCTCGCTGCTCGTATCGGCTGGAATGATCATATCACCGCCATATAGTCATACATACTTAAAATTCTCTCTCTCTTTCCTTACGAGGACGCATTGATCCGCTTCACAACTTTTAAATCGTCGTTCTTGAAGACGTGGTCGATCGTCTTGACCCAAGCACTTGCAGCTTGCTTGGGTCCGTATAGAGCTTTGTTCAGCTGACACGCAGCTCCCTTAATACCAATCGGAATCTCCATGTAAACACGATTCGTTAGCACACTGCTGAGAAAGGCGATTTCGATATCCAGTCAGCTCTATTTTGTAGCCTAATACCGCACACACTGCGAGTACAACTCGAATTTAGTTAATTCTGACCGCTGGAGAGTAAGTTTTGAAGAAATCCACGCCAGATTTCTGCTTAAACCCTTTAGTCACCAATTGCGCTTTGTAGCGCATAACACATCCATGTTGGTCACGCTTCTTAGCAAATACCCAACGGCATACAATCGTGCGTCCAACTGATTCTCGAACAAGTGTCCATGTTCTATTCTGGCGATGCGATTGTAATTCGGCGTCCATCGCTTGTCGCCAATGTCCTGCTCGTCACTAGCCATCGCCTACGCATACGTATAAGACAAGTCCGATTATTCACCAACACTTTCAGCGAAAGCGAAAACAGCGTCAGCTACAAGGTCGTCTTCGTCAAACCTTGCACGCTTTGGAGATAGTGGTCTTTTGTTTCCTCCCAAACTTTTTCGGCATCTGATCCCCTCTCCAATAAGAACATTGATTAATGTGTACACCTTGTTCGTGTCACTTGAGGCTGAAATCCCAATCGATCTTCCTGTGCATCCAGTGTGGGGGATCTGTACTCTGTCAGCTCATAGTGTACTGGGGTCAATAAGTGAATTACCTCGACTCCATATTCATATGTCGGACTCTTCCTTATTCATTGGTGCATCTGGAATTTCTTCTTCTTCTTCACAATCCATAAGTTCATCTAGATCTTGTTGGGTTTTATCGTCTTGGACACTGCGCTGTCATCGTTGTTCTTAGTTACGTGTAGCAATTATATTTGGTTGGGCGGATGAGTCTCATAAATGTCGCCCACTTCACGCTCGTCCAGCTTCACCGACCGTGATACTGATATCTTGCCTTTTTCCAGATCGTAAACTCGGTATCCCTTGGTGTCTTCGACATAACCAAGAAACATGCACTCAAAGCTTTTGGCTTCGAACTTCGTCCTCATGATCAACGTGGGCATACTTATGAGACCCAAACACCCTAAGGTTATCTATCCGAGGCTTCACCTTAAATCCCAGCTCATACGGGGTATTGTTTGGGTGCACTGTATTGCGAACTCTGCTGATCCGGTACACCGCAAAGCTTACTGCCTCTGCCCACCAACATGTCGGAACACACTGTATAGTGTAGCATCCTATGCCTTTTCCATGTTTTGTGCGGGTCATTTGTTCTGCAATTCCGTTTTGTTGGGGACTGTATGGTACTGTACGCTGACGTATGATGCCGTTCCGCTGACTTAACTCCGTAAATATCCTGTTGGCAACTCTGTTCCGTTGTCCGAGCGCAGGCACTTCCCCACTGATTTTCATGCAATACTTTGAACATCTTGATCTTGTCGACAACTTCACTCTTATTCACCAGATATTAAACCGCCACATATCGTGAACAATCATCCACAGAAGTCAAAATGTACTTAACACCTCTTCGAAAGGTCTTCATGGGTCCCACCACGTCCGTGTGAACTAATTCCCATACACGGGAAGCTTTAGTCATGGAGCGTCCTGGAAAGGCCTCAATCGTCTGCTTGCCTTTCATGCATCCACCAAACAAGGTCTTGATACCTTGGTTTAGCGCAGGCATACCCTGTGTAGATCGCAAAGTTTTTACATAAACATCTTTCTTGGGTGTCCCATACGAGCGTGCCACAGCTCCCACTGATTATCAGCTCCCGAGTATTGCATTGATCGTTCTTCTTCTTGCTGCCAATTTAGTGTGTAAGCTTTCCCATTTCTTGCCCCAGTTGTCAAAGCAAAGTTTTTGTCTCAAACGGTGCACGAAGCATGCTGAAATGCCAAGCTTAGTCCACGTTCGGCAAGCTTTTCCACCGACAGTAAACGTCCGTCAAGTCCAGAAATAAGCAGCACTTTCATCATCGATATGCGTCTTCCGTCTAAGCCGATAAGCTTCACTGTTCCAGCTCCTTCGACGCATAACTTCCTGCCGTCTGCAATCGTTACCTTGACGTTGGCATTCAGTCGCTTGAAGTCGATCAAGTCAGGGTCATGTGTGACGTCGCACCACTGTCAATCAACCAGTTTGCTGATTGCTCCTCTTCTACAGCAAATACTGCATCATTACAGCTGAAACCGTTTCTGGAGCGGTTCTCAGCTGGGCATTCCCGTCTCATATGACCAGTCTGGTCACAGTGAAAGTTCTTGCCCTAAAAAGCGCCGTCCTTTCGTGGCGCGTAATTCTTGCGACCAATTCCATGTCTACCCTTAATCCGTCTATCACTGTCTGTGGCGCGGAACGCTTTCTCACTTGCTTCCTTTTTTTGTAGCCGGTCTGATTCCTTCAACAGCTTCTCCTTAACTTTGATCGGGATGATGTCCTTGGCCTTCTATACGATAGACATAATAATCTCATATTAGGCCGGCAAGCTGCTCACTCCCGTCGTCTGAAGTCCCACCACCAGCTCGTCAAACGCGTCCAGATGTTCCACCACGTGAGTGCCACTCTCCTGTTCAAGCTCACGAAAGCGTCGTGTCATCATGACACCTTTGTGCAGAGTGGAGCGATTGTAGAAAACGCGAAGCACTCTCCATGCGCCCAAAGCACAAAAACGGACCGAATCTTGGTCTGGTGTTGAACCTCGACGTCCTGGACGAGTATTTCCGATGCCTTGGCGTTCATTCCCGAGCCACATCCCCGTTACTTTGCCCCCATCCTTTGCGCGCATAACGTGCCCTTGAAGCCCTTTTCTTGCGAGGGCCATCTTCACGTTAAGTTTCCAATATAGTAGCTACCATCGGTGCGCTTGGATGTCATGGCGGTGAGGGTGCGGTGATGCGAAGTTATGTTGTGAGGCTGTTGACCTGTTGAGAAGATGGCAAAAACCGAAGTTAATATATTTAGGTCATGAGTTAACTACTCTGTTCTACCTTTAAGCCTGTCTTTCTAGTTCATTCTAGAAGATTCTTAATGTAACTTTCTTTATTACCATTATGTGCGTGATCAGCATCCGTGATCAAGATAGAAATTGTAAATATGATCGTTTTCTTCGTGACGTCATCCACATGCATTCAGCAATGTTTAGTGACTATGTATTTTATCAGATTGAGTACAATAATTTAAAGGCAAACAATTGGCAACGAAAGTTTTGCAGTCGTTTCTACATGCTACTACATACAATAACGCGAGCTGCTTGTGTTTGGCATAAATGGGCAAGTCATAAGATATTATTATGTACGCGATGTTTGCAAAGTCAGCAATGCAGCGTCAAACCTTTCGTGGTCTAGTCATATATTCTCGTCGGCGCTCTCTTTTGCTAGAAATATAAACAATACAGTGCCATCCACAACCATGTTTTATCCACATGCGCTTTGTTGAAATGGCGTATCTAATTGCCAGTTTCGATGGCGATATCAAGTGCAGGTAAAATACTGTAGCACCATGTCCTCGCGTAGTTGTTTTAGTTTGCAGTGACAAACACCACAGTTTGGCCTTGTGAATCATATCAATTAAGTGTACCCACTTCTCGATTTGCGGCCTCGCTTGCACCACGAATTGAGATCACCACGATAGTAGCC